AAGCTAGTACTGAGTGGAGTTTTAGACCATTGACGACTGGCTGCTTTCATAGTCCGCCGGCCCTCCGGCCGGCGCGCTGACGTGGAACGAATTATGAAAACGTGAAAGTATGTAAGAAATCTACGTCTGTTGCATTTTATTTCACGCTTCTGACCTGTTCTGATAATGCCAGTTCGTTTTACGTCAGTGCGCCGGCGCGCCGGCCGGCCGGCCGGCGGGTTATGAAAGCGACCACTTGACTCTGATAAAGTAAGGATACTTGGTCGCAGTGGCCATTCAAGATAAGATGTACAGGGTGATCCACATGAAGTGTGACTGGCAATAAAAAAATCGTTTTGTGGGCTTCTAGACTACAGGATGCGGTGATGTCTTGGACCGAGAAAAAAGCGGAGAACGTCCGTAAAGCTTTCAGCAGGATTGGGCACTAGCCCCCAGCGCAAAGAAGACACTGCAATGATGTGAGACCGCGCTTCCGGATTTTTGAACGAAGGATGTTTGGTCTTCACACTTCTCGATTTCAAGCTTTTATTGTTCTCTGTATAGTCGATTCAGGAGCAAAAAGCCTGCGCTTTCAAACACAGGTCTTTAGACTCTCTGAAGAAGCTCTCTTTTGAAAGCGTGGAATGAAATGCATTGCGTGCATTCTTGAAAACTCAAGGAGGTTGGATATTCGCATTAAGGTGAAAGATGGCCATTCTCAATGCGACATGTGAAATGTTGTTTACAATTTTTGGGATGATTGTATGGAAGTAAACGTTTCCTATTTGGTTTGATTTCTATAATTTTGATGTTCTACGGATCTCCTTCACAGTGACTTCTCTCTCACTGAAGGATCCCCAGCCGGTTGGTGATGAGGCTACGTAGGGCATCCCCAGGTGGCGGATAGGGGAATTAATCGCCGACCAAAAGTCACCGGTACTTGCCCAGAGATGCAAGTGGATTCCTTGATTCTGCAGTGCTGGGTCGATATACCCTCTGTTTCTCGCAGGCATATCCATGCATACGTGTGCGGAGAGTCTGAGGGTGCAGATGGTATCCTGCCCATCGAATCGCCCAAAACCTTGAGTGACTGGGAGGTATCTGGGGGGCGATTCGGGGCCGCCTCCAAAAACAAAGCCCCTCGTCCACTTTGGGATAGCCTGGCAAGCCCCCGGAGTCAACCCAGCCCCTACGTGAGAGCCTGGTAAGCTGCAAGTTGGGTACCTACACGCCATAAACAGTAATAGAAATGGGCCTCATTCCCTTGAAGTTGAGGGAGCCTCCAATACGGCAGCGTTGGGAAGGACTGCTCGGGAGAGGCTGCTAAAAATTTCTCAGGGCCAAAACAGGCTGCCCAAAAGGAGAAGGACTAAGATGGCGATCTGTACTTTCAACGCGCGGACGCTTGCATCGTAAGCTTGTGGCTGCCCAAAAGGAGAAGGACTAAGATGGCGATCTGTACTTTCAACGCGCGGACGCTTGCATCGTAAGCTTGTATAGAGGACATGATGATGCAAGCTAGGAAGATCACGTACGACGCCATCGGACTGACCGAGACCAGAAGGCATCGCCCGCTGCACACTGTATTTGAGACTGGAGAAGAAGTGTTCCTTGGAACAAGCAACAGCAGAGGCGTCGGCAGTGTAGGCGTCCTCGTCAACACGCACTTGACCATGAACATCTATTCGTACGAAAGCTTAACAACACGAATCGGACGCTTGCGATTAAGATGTAGCTCAACCCCATCTCTAACCATCTTCGTTGCCTAGGCACCAAAATCAAGCTATGAAGAAGAGGAGCTGAAGGCAGTTTATATGGATCTAGAGAGGCTCTACAGAGAAGAATGTACTTTCTTCAAGGACATCATCGGTGATTTCAACGCCAACATTGGCCCCAAAAAACGGCTGAACAGCTCCACATTCTGACTCACGGAATGGAATGGAATGAGCAGGGTGAAAGGCCATCCGAGTTTACCATGTCGACCCACACCATCCATGGTAACTCGCAATTCCAGAAGCACTCTCATTTACGATGAACATGGGAGTCACATGGTTGACAGTACTATGATGAGATAGACCACATCATCTTCAATCCTGACGTCGCTGTTGTTCCGAAGCTCTACACGGGATCGGACCATCGTCTCCTTCGCGCTTTGTTCTGCTTCTTACAAGGAAGGTCTTTCAGGGCGTGGGACGCTTTTTGAAAATGGTTTATTGCATGGAATTGGGGCATGAGCACTGAGTACAGAACTGTGGTCCATTTCCGCTAAATGGCCTTCTGAATGCTAAAAAAGGAGTGAAAATGTTTTTGTCAGAGATTGGCATTTTAACCCACTAAGCGTCGTTTGTTTCATTCATGGCGTCGACTGTCCACACAGTGGAAGGCGCCAGTGGACTGGGCATTGAAAATAACGTGAACGGTGGCCAAAAAAGGGCTGACATGTTGCAAAGTGCGGGGAAGTTTCATATGTGCTCCCTACAGTTAAGCTGCGACGGATGGTGTGGTGGGTAGCGATGTGGACTTCGAGTTAGGACGACGAGGCTGGGTTTATGGTTCGGATCCTCGAACGAAGCGTAGCCGTTTTTGCTTTTTATGGTGCCACCTCCAGTTTGGCTCATATTGCATCAGGGCTCCTGAATCGTGAGCACAGGCTCATTGAAGTCTTCAGGGCATCCAAATCATGGATTGCCAAATTTGTTCGAGAATGTGGCTAGCATCAAAGCGGGTACGGCTTTTGTGACCACAGAGAACCTACGTTGACAGGAGGAGAGCAGGAGGCAAATGATTTCGTGAGAAGCGTAAGGGAAGAGATGGATAAGTTCCCTCTATCTGCCTTGAAAACACTACGCATTGTGGTTCGGACCCTCGAAGCGTGGCCGTTTTTGCTTTTTATGGTGCCACCTCCAGTTTGGCTCATATTGCATCAGGGCTCCTGAATCGTGAGCACAGGCTCATTGAAGTCTTCAGGGCATCCAAATCATGGATTGCCAAATTTGTTCGAGAATGTGGCTAGCATCAAAGCGGGTACGGCTTTTGTGACCACAGAGAACCTACGTTGACAGGAGGAGAGCAGGAGGCAAATGATTTCGTGAGAAGCGTAAGGGAAGAGATGGATAAGTTCCCTCTATCTGCCTTGAAAACACTACGCATCTCATCACCTAAATAGACCAAAAAAAAATTCGCTAGTTTCTCACAATGGAGGTGTAAGTAGCTGACTTGCGCGATCCTCGAAAAGGTAGTTCACTCCCTCATGCCACGGTAGTCTCTGTCACTATTAAGCTTGCCGCTTGAAACGGGTATGAAGGACTTCGTCAATGATTTGATCCTGTTGTTTCCCCAGAATGTTTCGTGCAAATTTTCGCCGTCAATTATTAGAAAAATGAAGAAGACAAACTTCGAAAGGACCATATCACCCTGGAGCAACATGACTGCTACGTAGCTTTTCATGTTGATCATTTCAATTGAGTCTTCAGTGAGACCTTTTCCAACAGTCTTCCTTTTGACAAGTCCACTCATGACGACAAGTTTCGTCAAAAGTTTCACTGTAGCTCTACATGCGTGTTTCATTCATTCCCGTGTTGACGCCGAGTCGAATAATTGCTCAGCAGCTGGAGAACTTCTGAGCGGTGGACTAGTAACCTTGCGCTCGCCTTGAAGAATGGCATCAGACCCAACCTTGCTTTTGCTGGTTGTTAACTTCTTAGTCCTAATGAAAAGTATTGGAGGATTGTTGAGTACACAGGGATGTTTCCAAACTGTGCGGTAAGTTTTGAGCAACCTTGCAGTGATAGAGAGAGCAAAAAAAAGGAGGCCAGGTTGAAAAGCCGGTCTCAATGGAAAAAGACAAGATAAGTTTAGTATAATAATAAGAGAGAATATACATTTGGAAAAAATCTGAGAAAAAATAGGATTGATGGAGAAGGAAGGCGTTAGCTCGACAAGTAAGGGTCTTGAAGGATTTGTGGTAGAAGTCATTTTTAAGATTCATAACATCCTTCGCGTTATTTTACTTGTCATCACAGTAGATGTATGACCTTTTTGAGCATCGGACAACACGACGTCACATGACAAGGACGATTTTTTTAGGAACATTTCAGCAACAAAAAGAGAAGGGAAGGGGCTAAACATAAAACTATGTCTGATATCCCAGCTGATTTCTTTACGTGCCTTTTGAAGTCACCCCGGCTGCATATTGATGCTCTAGCGAGAAAATTTAACGTAACTAGCGAATTTTTTTTTGGTCTATTTAGGTGATGAGATGCGTAGTGTTTTCAAGGCAGATAGAGGGAACTTATCCATCTCTTCCCTTACGCTTCTCACGAAATCATTTGCCTCCTGCTCTCCTCCTGTCAACGTAGGTTCTCTGTGGTCACAAAAGCCGTACCCGCTTTGATGCTAGCCACATTCTCGAACAAATTTGGCAATCCATGATTTGGATGCCCTGAAGACTTCAATGAGCCTGTGCTCACGATTCAGGAGCCCTGATGCAATATGAGCCAAACTGGAGGTGGCACCATAAAAAGCAAAAACGGCTACGCTTCGTTCGAGGATCCGAACCATAAACCCAGCCTCGTCGTCCTAACTCGAAGTCCACATCGCTACCCACCACACCATCCGTCGCAGCTTAACTGTAGGGAGCACATATGAAACTTCCCCGCACTTTGCAACATGTCAGCCCTTTTTTGGCCACCGTTCACGTTATTTTCAATGCCCAGTCCACTGGCGCCTTCTATTGTGTGGACAGTCGACGCCATGAATGAAACAAACGACGCTCAGTGGGTTAAAATGCCAATTTCTGACGAAAACATTTTCACTCCTTTCTCGGCATTCAGAAGGCCATTTAGCGGAAATGGACTATAGTTCCGTACTCAGTACTCATGCTCCTATACCATGCAAAAAACCATTTTCAAAAAGCGTCCCACGCCTTGAAGGACCTTCCTTGTTAGTGCGTGGAGAGAGAGCAATGAAGTTAAGGAAACGAAGCCCCAAGAATTCCATCAACTGGGACCATTTCGCTTCCCTTGCGAGTAAATAGGGAAGATTCCGTTATCAACAACATCGATGAACAATACAACCGGCTCGTCGAACATCTTCACGATAGCGCTGAGAAAGCAGGGAGTCTACAAGAAACCAAGAGACGGCTTTCTTGGAAGACTCTCGAGCTGATACGCCGGCGTGGAATCGCGCGAGATACAGGCAATCGTCAACAAACGTCCGAACTTGCGAAGCTATGCAGGGAAGTGATAAAGGAAGATCTGATAGAGAAAAGAGCAGTTCTTACTGAAGCTGCCGAGGCCGGAAAGAGCATTCGCAAGGCATTCCAGAGCTTCATCAATTATAAGACCAAGATGACTTCCCCTTGTCGTCCTGGTGGAACTGTTACTGCATCCCAAAGGGTAATGGAGAGGGTCATCTACAACTTCTACTCTGATCTCTTCCACGCCAGGTCTACCTGCCTACCTACCATCTTAGGCAAACGGATAGGTCGTCCCTTCAACTCTTCTCCCCGAAATTCGGCATGCCATCGCGTCGATGAGAAATGGTGCGGCACCCGTTCGTGACAGGATCAAAGCAGAACATCTAAAGAGCCTTCCGCCATTCATTGTCAGAACCCTGGCCCGGCTTTTCACGCGGTACCTGTCGCAATGTTAAATGCCCACTTTGTGGAAACCTAGCAAGACCGTATTGCTGTAAAAGAAGGGAGATTCAAACGACATTGGCATTTACCGCCCAATTTGCCTGCTGTCTGCAATCCATAAACTTTCTACACGAGTCATCCTTAACAGGATTGGCAAAATACTAGATGAAGGAGAGCCATGCGAGCAAGCAAGGTTCAGTACATTGACCACATCCACACCGTCACAGGACTCACTGAAGTATCGCGGGAGTGCATGTTGCCGTAATATCTTACCTTCATCGACCTGAAGAAGGCCTTAGATACTGTCGAGGCAAAAGCGGTAATCGAGCCCTTGGAAACCAGAGTGTTCCTACTCAATTGTAAGGATGCTTCGTGAGCTGTACAACAATTTCACGACTAGAGTCTCGCCATTACATAAAAAATTCATCATCATTGTGAAGAGAGGGGTTCGACAATGCGATATCATCTCGTCCAAACTTTCAGTGCCGCTCTCGAGAACGTCACGCGTCACATGGAATGGGAAAGCGTGGGAGTGAAGGTCGACGGCCGCTATTCACATCACCTCCGCTTTGCAGATGACATCGTGCTCATAACACCGAACACCGGGCAAGATGAACAAATGCTTGGATGACAGTACTTGTGGAAATATCGGCTTGAGACTGAACTTGACGAAGACGATGTTCATGCGGAACGGATTGGTACCTGATGCTCTTTCATGCTGAAAGGAACGAATATCTCTGAATGCTCCAGCTATGTGTATCTAGGTGGAGAAGTCAACATGATGAACGACCTAGCTCCGGAGCTGAGCAGACGGAAACGCGCGGCGTGGGGAGCATTCAAGAGTATCGAGGGAGTAGTGAAGAAAACGAGAACATCGAAGAAGAACTCCGCGTCGACACTGCGGTCCTTCCTGCTTTGACAAATGATTAAGAGACTTGGACTCTACGAAAGCAGGATGAGCATGCAGTTAACGTCATTCAACGCGCTGTGGAAAAGACGATGCTCGGAATTCCCCCATACACGCAAGTGCAGAAGGGAATCCGGAATTCCGAGCTCCGTCGACGAATGAAGATCAGGATGCCGTTGTTTACGCCAAGAGATCGAAAACCAGATGGGCTGCGCACGTCTTGCGATATAGTGATGACCGTTGAACCGGGGTGTTTACTGACTGGATTCCTCGGAACATCAAGCGAACACCAGGACGGCCGCCATTGAGATGGTCAGACTTCTTCACGAAAGCTCTGAACGAAAGGAATGCTGGACCTCGTGTCCCTGAAGCGAGGACGATTCACTGGACCACTGTGGCTCGCGACAGGAACGAATGGAGGCGTTACTGGCGCCCGCTCCAGGAAATCGATGATCAACGAGACGACAGGTGATACAGGTGAATTTTACTGTTAGTTTTCTATGTCACCCTGTATATCGTTGGAGGTCGTGCGCTGATCTCTAATCTGTGTTCCAAATCTGCTAAACGATTCTGGGAACAAAGTTACGGGTTCAGTATATCCCCGCGTTATTCCACGGTACCGAACGGATCACCAAGCAGAGCAAGGACCTAGCTATGCAACGGCGGCGCAGCTGGTAGGCATGAGATCAAGGTTCGATTCCTTGATGGATGCGCTCGTTTTGCTTTCCATGAAATTCGTCCCAGACGCTTGCAAAACGTTTTAAGGTTCATTGTTGGGCGTCCCTCACAATTTAGGATCCGTGGAATGGTAATCCAATGAAAAGATTTTTTCGCCACGACTGACTGAGTAGATATTCCCGACCCTCTACCTCGAACAGGGAAGACGGTGTTTCGAAATTTCCGGCAGCTAACTGCACTTAAGATAGAAGGTGGCCGAATGACTAATCCGACCAGAGCCCTCTCTGGGAAGGATACGGTCCACACTGTCGGCACTTTCGAAGCGGTGGTACAAGTTAACTGGCATTGTTGGAGAAGTACTGTGGTACAATAGTTCATCGATTTATGTGCACATACGATTATCCTTTGATTCTTGAGATGAACGCTCTTTCAAGAAGCCCCCACCATGGTAAGCATGGCGGTGCGGTGGGACATGATACCACGGCCGTACTTAAAATCTTCAATCCACTTACGACTTGTTTTGAAGTTGTCCTCAAGGCCTTCACTCTTGATTTGAAGTGCATCCAGAGGAAATGACTGTCGTGCGATGAGATTCCTACATTATGAGGGTTGCCTTTTATATTTTAGGATTGAACAACACTAGTGTTGCAATCTGGTAACTGACAGCTCTATCGCAAAGTTTGACATTTATGGGGTTGTACGCACACAGATCGTTTTGACATATGAGCGCTCTTTGTGTTGTTCACACTAACTTAAAAAATTTACTCAGGCCCTTGGCGCTCCCTCCCCCCACTTAGACCAAACCTTTCCCTCTAACCTCCCCCTCCCTCTTTAGCAATGAAGCTCCATCAAGGACCATTGCTTATCGATGGTATGGTGAATTTATCCGAGGTCGTAGTTCACTCCAAAACGAATTTCGTGGAGGTCTCCAAAATCAGTTGTTCCGATGCTGTGCGCAAACTAATATTGCAAGATCGTCATGTGACTTATCGTGAGATTGGGACAACCTTAGGCATTAAAGGGACCAGCATACATTCAATATTGCTTGATTATTTGAGTGTAAAAAAATTTGTTCGCGTTGGATCACACAAAATTTGTCAATCCCTCAAAAAAAGGCTCGTGTCGATTGTTTGAAAGAAATGCTCAAAAAATACGATCGCGGTGCTTCGAAACACGTCTATGACATCGCGACAGGTGATGGATCATGGGTTTACGCGTATGAGCCCGAAAGTAAACAGCATTCGACCGTATGGGTATTTCGAGATAAGCCAAATCCAACAAAAGCTGTCTGCGTACGAAGCAAATGGTCACCTGTTTTCTTTTTGGAAAAACTGGGCATGTCGCAACTGTATAACTAGAAGAAGAAGCAGTCAATTTTGAGTGGTATACAACCATTTGTTTGCCAGTTGCCTTCCAAAGAAAACCGGGAAAACCAATTGACGAAGACGGATCACACTTCACCGCGACAATGCGAGCTCCCAAACATCGGCTCCAACAACTGCACTTTTGAGCACTCACTACAACGATTTCATGAGTCATCAGCCATATAGTCAGCCAGGTAACTTCTTCTTATCCCGTACGTGAGAAATAAAATGAGAGGTCAGCGTTTTTCGACACCTGAAGAAGCCTTTGACGCGTTCAGAATGCACGTTTTAGAGTTACCTCAATCAGAGTGGCAAAAGTGCATCGACAGTAGGCTCTAACGCATGCAAAAGTGTATAGATCTTAATGGGGAATAAATTTAAAGGCAGTAAAGCGATTTCCAGTGATTAACATTTATTTTTTTTTCTAATTCCGAAATGTAAAAGGCAACCTACGTAACTTTATGGTAACTTATCCTTTCAACTTATCCGCTAATCTCCATAGGTAGACAAATCGGTCCGCTCGTTTTGCACCTGATAGTTACAGCCACACAAGACATCGCAAATTTGCGATATTAGTCTAGTTTGAAAGGTCATGTCCTCTCACACTTCCACTTAATTTCCGTAGACGGCACTCTGTCGTAATTATACAAAACGTGTTTTTCATGTACGCGGAAGTGTGGCTTCTTTTGAGACTCGAGCAATAGAAGGTCATGACTCTTCTACCAGCGCCATGAAAATGGACCAGGTCACAAAGTTGGAAGCTACGTTCCACTTTGGGACCGCTATATTTCTACAAACGTACGAGGTTTCTCTTATGAGTCCATCGCCGCTCTTATCATTAGGTGATCGCACAGGATCATTGTGATCGTCTTTCACAGACTCGACTTCCTCGCAGTGGGCAACGAGCTTGTTTTCATAGCATCGAAATGTACCCTCTATTACCTTCCGTTCACTATTAGGTGCTCACATTTTGCTGCAAGAGCGAAAGTCCCCCATTAACCTATTGGCGTCCGCGCCTTTTAAGCGTGTCTGGCGTGTGGGACCGGCCGCGTTTTTTCGCGGGCCTTTGCTGTGGCCCACCTGCAGGCCACACGGTCCGAAAAGCAAACAGATATCTTATGCACCTCCTTTTTGAGGTAAAGCTCCATCAAAATGTACAGAAGAAGTGATAAGTCAGGCAAAAAACGATGTGCTACGTTGTGGATGACCTTCACTTATTTTGTGAGATTTGGTGGAACTTTATCTCAAAAAATGGAACAACATGGAACGAAAACAACATCCACCGCTACTTTCTTAGGCTCCAACTGCTAGGAAATAGGAAACTGCTCAATTCATCTCTGATTCTTTACGGCTTGTGTGGTCCAGACCCAACAAAGTATTACAAAACTTTGTCTAGACACAAGGGACGAGTTTCGTCTTCAAATCTTCGATGGAATGGTTAGAGACAGATAGCACTGTTAAGCTAAACAGTGTAGAACCCTTACTTCGAATTGTTTTCGGCAAGCCTCCCTCTCCAGAAAAAAGATGCAAATAGGGTTGAAAGTCCGAAAGGGAGCTGGTGAAGATGCACTGGCGCTTCATGGAATACACATGGAAAAAATCGTGCTTATAAGTCATGCCAAAAGGGCCTCACAAAACGCATCAAGTGCCCAAAAATTTTATTTCGAGTGTTTTTCCGATTTAGTACTCGTAGTATTAGTGAGTGACCAGTTGATAGCGCTTAATTTTGCTTTTTTAATACTTTCCCCACATGAACTTTTGTTTTCTCCCATAACTACAGTTTGAAGTGAATGGATCTTGGACCACAACGCTTCAAGACCCTCTAGAAGGTTGTGAGCCTAGCTGATACATGAAAACGTCGAAAAATATAAAACGAATAATAAGTAATGCAAATTCTATCGTGGCTCGCCGGCGGGCCACGCGGTCCCAGGAGCACGATATGGTGTGGCTCGCCGGCGGGCCACACGGTCGTCAATGGGTTAAATACGTAGAAACCACGATCGGCAAGAATATTTCGCCTCGGCCAGTATGGGGCAAAAGACTCACTTGTAATACCTTTTCAGTGTTCCTAAATTGTGAGGGAGCTTCTTAGATGCCCAGCATTGAGTCTAAAAACGTTGCGCAAGCGTTTAGGACGCATTTCATGGAAAGCAAAACGAGCGCATGCATCAAGGAATCGAACTCTGAAGTGATGCTTACCAGTCCACCATCGTACCAGTTGCGCCACCGTTGCACACATTTGCTCGGCTCAATGATTCGTTCAGGACGGTGGTATAACAAAGGGAGGCGTTGGTCCCGTAACATTGTTCCCAGATTCGTTTAGCAGGTTTGGAAAACAGATTTGAGACCAGCGTTCGAAAGCACCTACTGCGGTGTACATCTCATCTTGAATGACCACTGCGACCAAGCATCCTTCCTTGTGAGCCACCGTGAACTAATTCTTCAACACACTGTACGGTACAAACATCTGTTTATTTCACAGATTTGTCTCCAATTTCACAGATTCCATAGCAACTTTCCTCATTGAATGTGCATCTGTAGAAAAAACTCATTATGTACATCCTACACTCCTTAAAACGGCTTTCACATCTTGACCCGCATCTAGAATTTTCTGGAGCTTCTGTCCCGATCTTCAAAAAGTATCTTTTACTGGAGAACTCATACACAATGACATTCATTCGAAGGCCCCAAAGCCCTCTGGAAAGCATTTCACAATAGAAACAACAGGTTATACATGCCTCTATATATACAAATATAGGGTGGATAGAAAGTACGGAATCACGAATAATCATTAATAAAATTATTAATTAACTACGATTTATAGTGGTGCTTAACTATTCGCTAAGCAACACGAAGAGAAACGACTATGTAAAGTACTGTTTGAAATGCCTTTAGCATTTTGCCGAATACCTTTGAGCACTACTGCAGAAACCTTGAAAACAATCACGGCCGGCAGAATGCACAGCAATCTGCAACTCACGTCCACGAACAATCCCAATTTCCACTCAGGCCAATCGACTTCTAAGACCAACTGCATTGATTGCGAAGCCTAGATTCGATGATATTGAAGACTTTACGCCACGCACAGCGTCCGAAAATTTAATGGAACTATGGAAAACGAAAAACGATGTGCAAACCTCCCATGGAACAGATGGAATTCGGAATACTTGACAAGCATGCGAGAACAATATAATCGTTCTCTTAAACACCCTCGTTTAGAGAAAATTCACGAGCAAGATTTCACGAATATGTTCTCACCCACGATAGCCCCCCGCTCCAACGTGGACAATGGAAACTTGGACATATAATTGGTTCATCAGATCAGCT